ATGAGGGTTGATTTAAACCATTAAACGTCTTGATTTCATTTTATATCGTTTTGCCTAAAACCGTTATCCATGACTTCAATAAAGAGGACGCATTGAAACAAAACTCGCTACAATAAGCAGTGTGAAGTAAAGTGTCTACTAACATTTATAAGTAACATACGTGGTGCACGATAGACTTACCTCCACGTGGTGCACCCTGGACAACGTATATTCATACGGTAAAAAGTCTATCACTCGGCATTCGTTTTTCAATAGACTTACCTCCACGTGGTGCACCCTGGACAACGTATATTCATACGGTAAAAAGTCTATTAACTGGCATTTTACTTCTGACTTCAAACTACTATGACATCACTGTATTTCACATTCGACCACTTCAACAGTACTCATCTTACCTTTTCTCTGCATTTGTGTCTGTCTGTCTCTTTTACATCTGTGAATCACTCTTCTATCCCTCCTCTCGAGTTTTTCTCACTTTGGGGTTACTCCACTCCATGAAGTCTGATGACGGCTAAAGGGCTAATGATAACTATCATGACGCCTGCCATTTGAAATTTGAGGCAGATTGCCAGTGCAAGAATTGATAATTTACGTTTATATCAATGCCCTATATAATTGCCAATGAATGATGAGTGAAATTGGATTATGAATATGAGAGTGCAAGAGGTTCATTAGTAGGTGAGATGAGAGGAGGTATTGTCGGGGAACCGGGTGAGTGATTTTATTAACCTCAAATTTGAAGAATTTTGTAGTCTTTTACTTGCATATTATAAGCATAGCATTTTGTTTGTAAATGTTTTTCAAAAAAAATTTACCGGTGGTCAGTCTATGTTTGCATTACCAGTTCACCTTGGAAGCGTAACCCTAACCCTGTAAGCAAATATGACGTAAACTTTCCGAAATTCTTTGAGAGACTCTGTCGGCACCTTTTCGGATGTAATAATAAGTGCCTTTCTCGACTAATGAAAGCTTGAAACTGGGCTTAGAAAACGGTAGCAATTAAAAGTGAGGGGTCCAATGGTGGAGTACCAGTAAAAATCGATAAATTCTAACGACAACCATTTATCTTTTGGAAAAGGGGTTATTTTATATATTTGTAAAACTATGGGAAATAGTGACAGCGAAAAAATTACATTAAATTTGAGTAAAAATAGTGGTATTCATGGCACATTTGACTTCGTCACTGATGCTTACAAATCGATTTTTTCATGCGAAGTTAGGACATTTAAAGTACAAATATGAGGTTTACGTGTAATCATATGCAGAGAATATGCAGTTCAAAAGAAAGGTGCCATTGTAATAATATCTAGTACAATTGAGTACCACTAAATCGAAACAAACAAACAATTGACGAAAACAAATAGAAATGGTTGCTTTACAGTTGCAATTTAACATCTCATTTCATTGAATTAGTATCACGACTGAAGGCGTGTGAATAAAAATAAAACGTGTGCACTCATCGTTTATTTGTGAATGAATGCATAATTGGAAGCACCAAGTTAGATCAATCTCAACTGGCTCAAAGATGATCTGAAAACTAGAATTATGGGAAAAGGAAGTGGGTGAGCATTTTGAGAAGGGTTTGAAAAAGACCACAAAATGAGGAGGCAAGTGGTAGTTTTGTCTTGATATTCTAGCGTATCTTTCCTATTCCCTCATTCTCATTGGCACAGACAAAATGCTCCCTCTTAAAAGGCGACACATCTTTCACTCCCAGAGTTTGAATATTTTTCATGTTTGTACTTTTCACCAAGGACAATTTTACGAGATGTATAAATTCCCTCCTCTCCTATTATATTTTAATTTAATTAAAGTTGATGCTGAAATAAAGTTGAAACAGAGGCTAAACGTCAATCCTTATCCAAGAGCTAGACAAATTGGATTTGCCATTGACATACTAAGCTAGAAATTGTGAAGTAATTCAGTTAGGCAAGTGACCTCTTCAGTCTTTGGTCATATGCTCAATCATAGGGATGCGTGAGTACATAGTAACCTCAGTCTGGATTTAAGCGTAAATTTAGATTTAGACTTAAAGTTCAGAAATTCATGACCACTAAGCTGCTAGTAGGCGTATTCAAGACAATTTAACCATAATGCCTGGGTCACCATGCTTTTAATTAATCATATTTTAGGCAATTAAACCCCTGTTCTTTAGCAATTAATTTAAGCATATCTCAGTGAGGAATAGTACTAATTGCAATAGCAATTGAATCATAGACCATCGGTAGATAAATTCCAACTTTGGACTCAGAAAATATGATGCACCCCTTTAACTATTACCTAACTTTGTTTGTTGATTTATTCCAGCTTACTATCTCATAAATATCGATTTACTTATTGGAAATCAATTTGGCCCTGTTTCTAACTTTCGTTTCACTTTATTCCATCGAGGGGTTATAATTCCCCTTTCTCAGACCCGATGGCTTGTTAACAACTTCTTCGAGGTACGTGGTGTAGAATTAAGAGCACCAATTCCTGTGGAAAAATTGCCATTATCTTGCCACAGCTATGGACTTATAATTTACAAGTAGACGACAAATTTCGGGTGTCATTGAACATTAAATAAGGTGAAAAACACATTGCCGCCAACACGTAATCTATAACAAATCGATTGAATTAAGCAAATTTATGCTTATCATTAAGAATAAAATTACCATGATGAATAATTCACTGAGATGTCGGTTTATTGATTGAGTTCTACTGAAGGGAGTATAAATTGCTTTGCCAACATATTATTACACTCCAATGACTTCTTAACCTCTCATACTAAGTCCGTTTAAATAAAAACTGTAATGAAAAGAATTACCTGAAGAGGTGTTGTTGGCAAGTCGCGTTGCCTTTTAAATGGATTAACTGATGAGGGCATTAACAACGAGAAACTGCTACTATGCCGAAATGGCATTTAGAAGTGAAATGCACAAAAATATAAGATTAGTACAATTCCAATTTAACTTATTAACTTAAAACTTTAACTAGGAGACTGTCGGTAGCTTAGGTAAAATAATAATTTGTGTTTCTACTCGAGGAATAATACTCTTCTGTCTGAAGTCTGCCAAATTAACCAGAATTATTTAAAGTTGTTTGGTGGTGTAAATATTCGAAATACGCTCTTTACGATTCAATTAAATGAAATGAAGGAAAATAGTGTGAGCAGATTACACTGAGAGAAAGTTAATTCTGTTAATCAATATCGAAGTCAAATATTTATTGGATACTAAACAAGTGGACCTTGACTAGTTCCCAACAAGCTTCCCTAGCAAAATCCACCAGGTCTAAAACGGTACCTGACATTGATTGTGGTGTCTCAAATATTTCAAGGAGTTAGAGCGTTTGGCGTGAATGATCTTCATTTTAGCCTATGATCACTGACACAAACCTTAGTCATTTAAGTGCTATGAGGATTGTGTAAAGTTGGAGCAACATTTGGTTGCTGATTGGTGAGAGATCTCTGCACTAATAGCACACATTTGCTCCCTCCACGATTAGTAGGAGAGTTACACTTTGCGAACTGTTTGAGAACCCATGAGATTCCTTCAACAGGTCTTGTTAACATCAGGAAAAAGGCAAGTATCGTTACTCAAGCTAACGCTCACCAAAATACATGAAATTCTTGTTAAACTTGCAGTGATTAAAAATTTGTTGTTTGGAAGAATCTTTTATGCATTCCCCCCCCCCTGTGAAGTCAGAAGTCATCTAAAGGACTAATGATAACCGTCAAAACGCTTGCCATTTGAGATAAATAAGCAAATGTATTCCTGAATTTTTACACTGGGGAACACTTAGTAACAAATTTATTTCAACTTGTAAGACCAAATTCAATAATGAGATGCAAATTACTCCTCATCAAAATCAATTTAAATTCCAATAATTGATTAATTAAATAATAAGTGTTTGGCGTCAATTGGCTTGTCAATTTTTCCTTCCGAACTTGGCTGCAGTGAATGCCTTCATATATCTAAAGAGAATAAAAAAATGATAATGGGCAGTAGACGAACAGTGGTATAACCGAACAGTCCTTTCACAAAAGGAGTTAATTCGTAATGGAAAGCTGTGACGATAATTGCACAGATTGGGTTTATATCTGTCTTTCTTAACTACGCATTTTTTGAGGCAATTAAACTACATGTAACTAATAATTAGAGCACACTGTTTACCTATTGGCATGATTTGACATGGATAATACTTTGTAAATATGAAGCAGCTTAAAACGGGATGGAATTTTGGCACAAATTAATTTCATTTTCCATTGGCTCTAGAAGAGATTTGTTGGTAAGTCCACAATGCCTAATAATTCATTTTTTACTATAGCATAGACAAGTCGATGGTGTATAAGATGTAAAGAGGAAACGATTTGTAGCTGTACGATGTTGATGAACGCATTTTGATTGGTCAATGTGAACACAAGGGGTAAAATGCACTTTATGTTCCTTCATTGATTTCCAGACGTATTTACTTGAAAACATGTGCCACTTTATTTCATTATTACGAACTTAATTTGAGTTTGAAGAGGAATATGATCAAATTGATGCTAAAACTCCCACTAACTTCCATTCTTTAGTGAAGTATCGGACAGTGTAAGAATCACGATATCGAATTCAAATCAATTCAGTTTGTTCGCTGATAACTTTTGTTTAATTTTAGAGTATTTCTTCACTAACCCAAAAATAAATACTTAAAACGCTTACTCATGCCCGTAAAGCCTTACTTTAAATGAAGCAATAGGAAGGAATGGGAGAGGACATAACTCTTGTCAAAGTCAAAATGGAAAGTTGGCCATAAGGAAGCACTCCATGTTATACACTGCAAAGACGCATTCAATGATATAATCTCTCATATGAAGTAGTAGTGAGATTATGTGACTAAATTACATTAATATTTAAGACGCTAGTTGATTGGATTAGAAGCCAATAAGTTCTAACGACATTTTCATTGGTTGTATTGAATTAGACACCTTTATATTCCGGCACAAATCGAAAATGTTGAAGTGAAGTAATCGCGTGATGGAGGACGAAACAGCACTACGAAGAACCTGTTGCCAAACCTTGGGAAAGGCCTTAAAAGGCGAATTTAAGCGCCAAAATCTGGGATTCAGTGGGGCTAACTATGAACTCTTCCCATTTTCTCATGTAGGTTCTGAAATTCATTTTTTATAAAATTATCGATTTGCATACTGAGTGTTCACACTAACCGCAGAAAATTTAGAATGACACATAGCTTTCATTTCAAGTAAATTTGATTGATATTCAAGTATTGAACAGATCTAGTAAAGGAATGCAAACATTTCTTGTAATTATCACTCATTGTATGCTTCACTCACAAAAACCAACTTTATAAAATGGTAAAAGCATTAATTTTTTCTGTCAATGGACATTGTCATTAAGCAGAAGAGAAGACGAATTCCATCAAAGAGAAGTATACTTAAATTTTTGAAATTATGAAGAAACTCCCTTTCGAATTAAAAGGAGGTATTATAAGGAAGTGATAATTTTAATTTAAGAGTTCTTGAGATGTTGGGAACAAGTATTCTGCTTTTCTTTTCATGGAAAAGTCGCTTAAATGGCATCACAACTTCTGGAATTGAAGCATTTGTCCACACGTCAAGTACATTATTTTTCCAATGACTTGGAGGTCAAGCACACATGGAGATTGGTGAAATTGTAGAAAGTTTTATAGGAGGTGATTATTTCACCAAGAAATACTGATTAAATCTATACCGCGAGATTCCACAAACAGCAGCAAACTTTATTTGATTTCCCGATTGGATTGAATTACTTGTTTATCGATTTTTCTCCTATTTTTAGTGGATGCAGTTGGATACTTACCTCTATCCAACCTATCGAATAATCATTGCCATCACTTTGTTAATTTGGCCTTGCGTGGAAATTCCACTGAGATTTGCACAAAACACAGATGACTATACAAAGTATAAATATTTCCTTTATGCCACGAATTGGGCGTTTCTCATATACACCGTCAGCTCCAATGCCTTCGCAATATACTGCACATTTTACAATTGCAAGAAAGGTGGATTTCTTTGTTCGTAATTTAATAATCCTTTTTCTTGGATTTATAACAAAGCCAATTAACATATGAAGTGAGAGTAATATTGATTTACAGGCTTTAACGGATTAGTAAAGAAATTTGAAAGAACTGGCGACATTGTTGATCATTGAATGAATAGATCAAATGCCCCATTGAATGAATATTAAAAGTTGAGACGCCTGACTACACTCTTTCAGTACGGGCCACAATTTCCACAATATTTTATTGTGCGGGAGATTGTCGTGGTTAGACTAGTTAGCGCATCACACTGCATAATTAGCTCCCTTTACATGAATGACCTTGTGGTTAATGAAATATTTACACTTTTGAAAAAACCTGATCCAATTTGAATAAATTTAATTGCCAATAGAAAGCGAAAAATCATAACGTTATTTAACAAATTAAATCAAACAATAGTTATTTAATTTTTATTGCTTATATTTTTACTTGTAGCTCTTTTTAGCGCAATTGAAAATAATTCTTGTTTAGGAAATATTTCATGTTGAAATAATTTTTAATAATTTCCACATTTTTATTTTACATAGAGATATAAGTAAAGTCAGTGACCTATATCTACTCTGATGAGAAAAATATTTAAAATCAGCCCACTCTGTTACTGAATTTATTATCAAAAATGACCTCAATTTATTGTTTATGATTAAAATTTCAGATGCAAAGGTTTCAAGATGTCCTGGGGAAATTCTCTGGTTCTTTTACGGCATTTCAACGAACACAGTCATGGTCACATCTCTTGTCTACTGGTCGGCATTCTGGAATCCAGATTTCTGTAAGTTTTTGTTTAAATCAAGTTGACAGTAATTGACAAGAAAATAATTCGACAACGCATGCCATGTCACCGACTATTACTAAACTTCAAAGTTTACCCATAAAATACTTCCCAGTTAAATGCCAAAGTCTTTAAATTCCGCTTAATTCCATTAAACCGAGAATTTAGCCTAAGAAATAAATTACAATTTAAAACCGAAATTTAGATAATTTTTTGAACTAGAGATGAAAATAAGTTTGAAGTGTTGATAGCATTAACCTATCCCATAACACCTTGGCTATGACATTTTAGTTATTCATAGTAGTGGCAGAATTAATTAAAGTTTTAAAATTATTACATTTTGAACATTTCTGATAAGTAAATACTACTTTGTTCAAATTAGTAGAATTTTCTTTTAATTTTAACAAAGAATTTTGCCATACTAGCAAGTTTTTAAGGGGATGTAGTTTGGATATGAAAGTGAATATTTAGTCAAAGTTAAACCATCATTTTCTTATTAAGTTTTATGAGAATGTTTTTGTCATTGAAGCAGCCATTCATTTATTAGCACTAATATGCATTGGGTTACTTTTAAAATGTGGAATATTCCTTTTGTTTTAAGTAGAATACAATAAAATCTCTTGTCGTGCAAATGAATGGGGCAGGATGTACCCTCGGTAACATTAATATCGTAGCAAGAGTTAAATGAAAGATGGCTTGAACTATGGCAAAATTTTATTGAAATGTTCTCACATTCTCCCTTGTCTTTTTTTGCGTAAGGTCAATAACAGCAGATGTCGATAGATTCCATGATTGACGAATGTTTGCTTTGTTGTCTAGTATTGGCAATTGCAATTCCCTTGTTGCTGAAATATGCTCAGTGGAATAAAAACAGTGCAGAATGTCACTTTAAAAATGACCCCATTTGTTTAACTATTCAAGAACAAGTGGTTTATATAAATTGTGAGAGGGTGTTTCACAAAGAGTACATAGACAGAAAATCCATCTCATTTTTTCATTTTGTTATTTCCAATCCATGTGTGAGAAGGCATCCCTGAGGCTAAAAATTTGTCACTGCCTGTTAAGTAGAAAATAGAAATATTATTTAATTATTTACACCAAATTATGTACTTTCTTCTCTGTTATAATTGAAGAACATGTAGTCATTAAAATAATTTTTAAAACTAATGAGTAATCTTGTAGAGCACACATTTTGAATAAAGTACTGTCCAATCCTATTTTGTGATTGTTAGTTGGAGCTATGTCGGTTTCTTAAAATATCTTTAAGGTAACCTTTAACTGCTACGTTAAACCTTTTTCTCTAATAAACATGAAAGATATTACTTAAGATTATTATCAGAGTGTGGCTTCAAAACTGTTATATAAATTTTATGATTACCCACATTGATTAGCACTGAAGCACTGGAAGAAATTATTGCAAAATGTGAATTGCCTTTCATAAATGCTTAATAGCGTAAACTAACATCTAAGCACCAATCAATACCATCTGTTTTTATTTAATTTAGCCAATTTCTACAAGTCGGACGCGAAATTCAAACACTCAATTCCAGCCCTTACTGTTGTCTTAGATATATGTCTAAACGGACTCCCGATTCGATTACTTCATGCTATATATCCAATGATATTCGGTATACTTTATTCCACTTTCTCCTATTTCTACTTCGATGCTGTCAATGACGAACCAATTTACCCGATACTTGATTGGAGTAAACCATTGAAGTCTATTCTTGCCTGCTCGATGATCGTCACATTCAGTCTTATCATGCAGGTTGGTTTACCAATTCAAATCATAGAACAAGAAGCTGATTTCTAATATGCTTAACTTCACCATTATCATTATTCATAGGTTTAAATTAAATTGGCAATAATTTCCATCACCTGTCTCGACATTGCCACCAAGTTAAGAGAGGTAATGGCCTTCACTTACAAGAGTGGGATTTAATTATGTACAGTGGAAAAGTTGGTAATTGATTAAAATACAAGGAAGCACACATGGTTTGGTTGGTGTCGACGTATAATGGGTTGAAATAAATCTTGAACCGAGATTGACATACCTTCACCACCCCACACAACTAATCAATGCATCCATTTCTGCTTCGATGTCCTAAACACTTAAATAGTTACTCAGATCTGTCAAGCATTAGAGGTCAAAACCGATTCTTGAAGACATCTTTATTGTACTTACCTCATAAGGCACTACCTTTTAGCGAAATTGGCACATTTCAAAGATCGTTAACATAGTGAAATTGAAAATTCATGGTACATGGTACGTTATTGAGCCGGAGTAGTTGAAATAATCTCACCAATGACAGCACTTCATAAAAATTGAATTAAGATTCGAATTTGATTAGAATACCATGTGAAACATCCAATAGATGGAAAAGTTCTATAACAGGGATTTGAAAAAAATTCATGGGAAAATTAGTTTAACAAAGGGAAAAGGTAGAATTGAGGCTAAATAGAGATAGATTTATTTATTTATATCAAATGGCAGGCATTATGATAGTTATCTTTAGCCCATTAGTTGACTTCGGACTTCACAGAGGGGAGGAACATCGTAGTGAGAAAAATTTGAGAGGGGGGAAGGAAGAAGAGTGATTGAGAGATGTAAAGAGATAGATGGACACAAATGCAGAGAAAAGGTAAGATGAGTACTGTGT